CCACAGGCGACAGCAACTACAAGACGACGACACCGACCCCCCTGGCCTGGTCCACAGCTCACGAACGAAAGGAATGCGGCTAAGGCAGTGTTTTGCCTATATTATTGTCCATGGTTCGCAGGGTGCAAGGGAATGAGTGAGTTTCTTTGTGTGTGCCTGAGTGCCTGGAGGGAGGGGATGGGGTATGAAAGTCATGCGGACGGGGATGAGCCGCGGGAGAGAACACGGGATTTGAATGAATGAGTGAAACTGAAAGAGACGAACGACTCGTGAGCCCTGGAGTGAATGGATCCTGTGTTTCTATTTTTGCATACTTTGAACTGTTACTGAATAAAGGCCCGAAAAACAAACACACACACACTCCTCACTCTCCACTTACTACCACACACAGACACACTCACATATATACATACATACATACACACACACACACACTCCTCACTCTCCACTTACTACCACACACAGACACACTCACACACGCATATATACATACACACACACACAGGAGCAAATTATTGGGTCTATATCTACTGACTCGGAGTTACGAGAGAGTGCACCCATCAACCACCCTCATATAGTATACTCATCTGTAGACGACCGTATTGTTAACAACAATTATTCTTCATTTATAACATTATGCATGTGCCCGTGAGTTTAAGTATTACATGTAATAATAGTGTGCATATGTATGGAAGAGAGGATGTGTGAGAGTGTGTGTAAGCGTGTGTACATGTGTGTGTGTGGTGAAACAACAAACCAGTGTGCCAGTGTCTGGACAATAAAGATTTATCTAACGTTTCAACTCACTTATCTGTGGGCAGTCTCGTGTCAGGGCACTCATGATCGGAGACGGACATTAGATACAATTCGGAAGTCCCACTTCAAATAAACTAATGGAGTTGAAAGGAACCTAAAACCCATTCACTTACCCTTGTGTCATGTCTGTTAACCATGTGTACATATTTTTTTGGGTATAGCAAAAAAATTAATCCAGGCGCATTTACGCCCCAATCAACACACAAGATCATTTAGGAAGCAGGCTGCAACTGGTGCTGAGAGGAAAATAACATCACAGCAGAAAGACGGAGAGACCCAATAAAAGTTTTACCCCACTCAAGAATTGAACTCAAATCTCCTGCGAGCGCTAGCGAAGCGCCTAACCGATATACAACAAACACCAGTTCCTGTACAAGCATAAAATGCAGGCTACTTAAAATTTGCATTCCTTCTTGTTAAGAGTAGGTCTACTTTGGAGTGCTTCCTAATCCTACTGACACCTGAGTTGAAACAGATTCTTCGCCTTGAACACAAACATGTTGAATGTTGTTATCGATCTAGAGCGCACAAGTGATGAGCACATTCGATTTCTGATTTGGAAATTTTGTTGTATGTAAGCCTACGGTGGTGCCGTATCTCCATATATAGATCTATATTGAAATTATTATTGTGAGATGCTGCATCCCTTTCGGCCTGGGCTGGCCATGAGAAGCTGTGTCGAAACAGCCCGGTGCCAGATGTATCTCAACCTAAAGTATGTTGATGAGGGTGTACGTTTACTTTTACATTTTTTCAACATTCTGAGTGCTTCCTCAATAGCAGTCAAGGTGGTGATAAGATAGTGATAATATTCACAAGCTTCCTGGGAGAAACAATTTGGAATACTTCTACAACACAAATTGTCTGCAAGTTTAGACATGAATTACCAATGCTACTTGATACTATTACTCATGATACATTTTGAAACATGAACTCTTTTCACTATGGGCATGTGATCCACTATAGGTTCACTAACCTATTGGGTCTGATTTAGTTCTTTTCATAATAACCATCTTGCCTAATTATCATGTGTATCACAAGATCCAAACTACATTTGCTACACTTCTTACAATTATGTAACTATTTGTTGTCTAATGATTGAACCACTCTATTTCCTTGCCTGCCACCTTATATAACTGCTCTGATTTCATCATTTTACATCACTTGCCAATACAATCCAGTATTTCAATTGACCTTCAAATTTCGTGTTCAATTTCAAATAAAAAGCAAGCCTAAATCAGACCAGAAATAAAATTTTGCGATGACATTTATTTTCAATGTGTACTACCAATGTACTCCTGGTATCTGCCCTACCTAATACACACACATGACAGGGCAGATACGATAGGCAGATTTGGAAACAAGTGTGTGACATATAGAGGTATATAAATATATTATACTAGTATTATATATTATAGAGAGAGAGAGAAAGAGATTGAGAGATTTTTTAAATTGTAAACGTTTGACAATTTATGAGACAGGTTGTTTTGACCCTGCCTGCCAATGGACTAGTAGTAAGGCAGTCACAACCTGATGCGACAAAAATACAAAAGGTCAAGTTTGTCAGACCACACTTTCATCCACACCTTACATTCAGTGAAAGCAAATGCCAGGTCACACAAATTCCTTGAACGTGAGGACCACTGATGGTAAACACTTAAAAGCATGAAATTATCTTTTTAGCAATGTGGAGAGGGGTAAATGATAAAGAGAAACAAACCATGACAAGAGTGTATGAGGGAGGATTTGAGAGGAATTACTGGTACAAAAATTACTGCTGAAAACAGGTGTCAAAAAGAAAATTCATCAACAAACAGATAAATTGAAACTCTAACATTCTCGTAAGTAAACTTGAAAGTAGGAAAGACTGTTTTGATAACTCACAGGAGTATACATCAGACACAAATTTTTAATTATAGTAACAATAGGCCTACTTTTCAAACATTGCGGCAAACCCATGACATAGCACAAAAGGTGACGACAAAGAGACAAGACAGATAAAAGAAGACAATTGTCTTACAAAGTTGTAAGTTTAGATCTACTATAATCTGGATTAAAAAACTAGGATAGATGAGATTAAGATCAAGATTCTAGATGGACATTAGACAGATCTGGGACCTGCACGTAGCTGGTATCTTGATTAGCTGGCAGACCTAGATACAATGTAGTAGATTTCTTGTCTATATCCATTTAGATTTGGAACAACAAAAAGTAAAACCAAACTCAGTACCACTACACAAGAATGACAGCTGAGAAGAGGACTTTAGACTATTAACAGGGCCTGTTACCTTTGAAATAAGCAGTGACCGATACTGAAAATATTGCATTACTCGGGCAAAAAGGGGCTAGACTCTCAAATTGAAACAATGCAATCTGTTTTCTAATACTAATACATTTAAAGTGTCTGTGATTGAATCAATAAACTGGCTGAATTTGAGAGTGGTAGTATAACATAGGGCATAAGCTGTATCTACAGAGGTAATTTTACTAACTTCAGAGTAACATGCCCCTTAATAACACATGTCATGACTATGACTGCCAAAGTAAAGGTCAATATATTCATACATGCAAGTTTCCTTTAGATACCCCATTTTGAGGAACATGTTTGACACATATCCCCTCTTAGCCAGGCATTTGATCAGAAAATACGACTCATGAACACAGACATTTCATGCAATGGACAAAGTATCAAAGGGGAAATTAATTTTATTATCTAAAATATACAAAAACACACTCTGAAGGCTACAAAATTGGAACAGGCATACAAATAAAATATCATTCATACGAAGCAAATCACAGACACTGTGTGCCCACATTTCTCAACTACATCAAAAAGCCTGAATGGATCTTGTAATACATTTTAGATATCATAAAAGAGAGATTTATGCTTGAATACAAATCTCTCCTGTGAACATTTTGAAAGTCAAAACTTGGAACATGTTTGTATGCTACCAATAATTCAAGAGCCAAACAACATAGAGTTTGTAGGTTCCACCCACTGAATAGAGAATGGCTTTTCAAATCGCAAGGAGAGGGAAATACTACTGAAAAGCAAAGTGAAAGGCACAGGGTTGGTCAATAGTTATGTATATATGCATATTGTAGTACACAGGTCTGCCACCTCTAAGTCTCCGCTCGAGGTCTAGTAGAATCTATTACATAAAGTTAAATACATGTAATGATCTTTGTACCGAATTTTTTCTATTGATAAATTTAAAGGCAAACCCTCTACAGTAGTCTCCACTTAAACGCACGGTGCTCGGGGGGGGGGGGGGGGGGGGGGGAGGGCTCCTTAGCATGTGTTCATACGGAGCGTGCCTTTACATGAACCTTAGTAAAGGGAGGAAGGGGCGCAGTCATCTCAATTCCTTATTACTTCAGTGACCTCCCTTGGTGGAGGAGGTCATTTTAGCAGATAATGTGACGACATGACTGTTTTGTGAAGGATTCCCCGACAGGGGTTAAGAATACAAAGGTGTTGAATGGGGGAGGGGGCGGCAAGCTCAATGTAATGAATTGCACTATAAACATCGGGAACAGATAGCCTAAGAGGAAACTGTTGGTGATAGTCATAGAGACGACGGACCAGCCACGTGGCTTTCCAAGCGACCATCCCCGACCGTAAAATTATGCACAATCATCCTCGAGAAACATTTTCTCTTGTGATTCGTTGAACAAGTACGTTATAAGTTCTTCGAGCGCAGCTTATTAGGCTTACTTGGCTGATCTTTAATCCTATAGAGGCCTGTCTAGTGTTTTACGGCATTTACGCATGTCGCGCATCAGGTCTAGATCTAACTAAACATTACACGCAGTCACTCAAACTCAAACACCAGTCAGAAACCTTCTCTCAAAGATACATTTCCAGTGACCAATCAAAAAACATTTCAGTCCCCCCAATCTCATCCCAACACTTAACCGACAAGCCCTAGTCAGTGGAAAGTAGGGTGTGTAGACGCTGTCCATCACTCTCCACTCTCTTTGTACGGTGTGAGGGGCACTCTCACCAAATATCCGATTTTCTAGTAAATTCTAGGCTTGTCTTATGCAGGCTGTGCAGGTTGTTGTGAAAATTTCTCCTCGCCAAGCTTAACTTGTTGGTGTGTTTCACAGATCAGAGCGTGCGTTTAGAGGGAGTGACAGTGTGTCTGTACGTCTAAATTATATAGTAAAAAAACCTGTCAGATGATGAAAGCGTGCGTTTGAGCGGAGCGTGCTTTTGTATGGCGTGCGTTTAGGCGGAGACTACTGTACTAGTTATACTTACTGTAGGTAATTTTGAAGGTGAAACACTTTCCTCAGAGCAATGGTAGTTTTAGCTACGATAAAAGTTTATCCCTGACATTAAGCCATAGTCTTGCTTTTATTTATAGTGAGAAGCGTATCAGAGTCAGCAGTTAGAAATTACTTTACTTCCAGTCACTCCTTCATCTTTGACAAGGCCTTGATTGGGGCACTGCGCTTGGTACATTGGAAGACCATCTCTTCCTCTGGAATGCCTCGGTTGCGTGGCACGGGTGACCAGCGGGAAAGTCGTCTTGGCTCCGCATCCGGTGTGTTTTGTACGAGAGCACGTCGTGGCTGTGCCAGAGAAAATGACAGAAAAGTCGTGAAAAATAAAAGTATTTGATGTTATTGACACAATTGGATCATTTGAAGAAAAGGACATGTAGGAAAATATAGGTGTGAGACAGAGTTGCACAATGAGGAAAGCCATTGACCACCAAACATGGCAGGCAGATAGTGTAGAGGGCTGTGCCGCAATTATGACAGTTGTCTGTGATTGGTCTGCATAGGTACACTTCACACCTCCAGGCAAACTCAGCTCATAGACATAACCCATCGCAGAAGGGCAGACGTGACGAGTTCACATCAATTGATGGAATGGAATTTGACAGAATTTTTACTTTAAGTCATTCCCCATTAAAATTCGCCGAAACAGCATGCTTTTCTCGTCACCTAAGATGCCTAAAGTGTTTCCACACTGTCACACATCAAGGAGAGAAAAAAGTCCTGTTTTTTTTTTCTTGGTTTCTGTAACCATTTTTGAGGTGATTAAAAAAAACAAAACATGACAGAGAGAGGAAGCAGAAATGAAGAGAAATACAAGATAGGAAATAATAAGAGGAGAAACCATCAAAATCAATACATAAAGATAAGAATAGCGGCTAAACTGAAGTAGAAACAGCCCTTGCTTGCCATAATTTATCAAGTACATTTCGTTCAATCAACAGGTAACTGACAAAGTAAGCAAAGCTCTATCTTAACTGATTCAGCCCGTTGTAACGTTCACAGCGCTGACTGTCTCCTTTCTTCACTCCTTACCACTTACATTTCAACCCTTTTTTCTGATGTCATTGAACATAAGAATTTTTTGTTCTGAACATTTCTATATGCCAACAAAGGGTTTTTATAAAATTTCGATATTTTTGCATTAACTCTTTGTGAGATCACCCATGAGGTTACGAAGCGCTCACAAATTATTAGCGTCCAGAGTCAAAATTATCTGCGGGCTGAATCAGTTAAGTCATGTGACATTTGAGACTTTGTGTGTGACTCCTTAGTGATCTTTTGCCTGAATGGACCTCGTATTTAGTTTTGTGGACTTTTTGACCCTTTACTTTGGGCGGGGGCAGGATAGTGCCCCATTATCACGTAGGCTGAGTTCTCATTATCTCTCTGAGCATTGTTCAAGCCAGTTTTTAACCCCGCAAGTTCCAAGCCAAAGTGGCCTAAAGTCCCATCCACGACACCAGTCTGCACAAAGGAAGGAAAAATCACTTGCAAAAATATGACAGAAATAGCCACTGTTATACTATATACTCTGCAGTGGGTCTATAGATGGAAGTAGACAGCCAATAGAACATATGCATCCAGATGTGACTAGTTGTATCTGTGAAAGTGCATCATGCTGATTGCTCTCACCTTAAAAGCTCCTCCATCATCAGAACTGCTGCTGCTCTAAAATAAGAATTAAAAACAAAAGAAAACACTTTCAAAATACATTGAAGTAGCAGTACACATACACGACTCAACAGAAACACTTTTGATGGTGCGTAATGGATTTGTCTATTTTGCAACATAATTTTTTACTTGCATGACATTTGTGTGTGCTTATGGTGTTTTGCATAGTCCTTTGTTTTTTTCTTAAATACATGCTAGTGGATATAATATATAAAGGCATGATTTACTTCTGACCCTCAGTTCAAGCAAAGGGACAAACATGACAGTATGGCACATAAAAGTCTCGGGCAAAGAAGGATAGATAATGCATATTTTATGCATGAAGTGGCTCTAGCTGTCACGTTGAAAAGTTAAAATGTACGTATTCATAAACCGCCATCTGCCCAGAGACTAAGTGGAAAAGGATAAAAAACCCAGATAAATGAGAAGTTCATGTCCAAATATCTTCTCTGTAACTTAAAAAATGTAACAGAAACATCAAAGAGCACAACTTTGAACAAACCCGCAGAGCAGTCAACAAAAAAACAAGAGGAGAGATATTTTCTTGAGAAGGTACAATGTGCAACACTCTACTGGGTCACTTTTCTGCTCCATAAAACCCATCATTGCGACGAAACTGTCATGTTAGGGCTACACTCTGTCATGCTAAAACTATACTATATTGTGTTTATGACTACACGTGGCATGTTCTATGTCATGATAATAGCTTTCTATACAATACTATTAACCACACAAAAACAAAAAATGAAATAATTTTTTTTTGTAGTTGTAGATGTTTTATGTCCCCTTCCACACAATTTAGAGATGGACTGCATTGAAACAGCTTGCAGGGCGAAGCTGGGATGATAGAGATACAATACCCATGCAAAAATATAAGATGCATTATAAAAATCCTACCCACAGAGGAATCGATATCACGTCTTTTGCACGCCACACTGAAACATCAACTAACCCGTACACAAAGGATACTGGTATTCATAGTACATATTGGCTGCTTAGTGTAAAACTCTGCCTTATGCCATTATGAAAAGGGACGTATGACACAGTCTCACACCACTGAGCAGTCGATATATATAATGTACAAGGACGTGTTAACAACAGCACCCAGTCTACCGTATCAAGCTAGAACAACTCCCGGTGCTGTATTTTAACATTTACAGTACCGTCTGCAACTTCCCGTAATTTCCGCTGGCGAATTTAGTCGCCGACTCGACCAGGCACATTAAACAATGAATGGAACTTCTGGACGGAAGTAAATATCAAAGGAAATCACACTATGTGACAGCTAAATCGTTGATGTGACGCTTCAAATTTTTAAAGCGCGTTTCTTGAGCTGTGAAGGTTTTTTTTTAAATTTACATTTTTTGTTCTACCATGGCTTCAGCATTCCCAGATTGCTAGACCTAGAGCTAAAAATTCAGGTGGGTGTGTCTACCCTCTCCAAACAGAATGGGAGTTTTATTATGATGTCCATATGTCGCAAAAGAGGTTTTTCTATAGAGTACATTTGTTTCTGAATATATCTTGAAAATTTCATGTTACCCTGTCAATGACGTTTGTTTCAATGAATTTTTTTTTGTTACGCACCCTAATTATTTTGTAGGCTTCTATATAGGTGCGGTACTCAAGGGTTTTTCACTATATGACCCTGCGGTACTGAAGGTGTTCAGCAACAACATGAAAAAATAAAAGTACCCTTCCACTCCTGTGGCCACTCCCTGCACGCGGAGATTCTGATCCTCTGAAAAAGATAAAAGATATTGCATGCTGACTCAGAGTCCGAAAATACGTAGAAAGAAATCAATCAAACAAAACTTATATCTGAAAGTTCAGCCTCTACGTACATTGACACGATTATTTAAATCTATGCCAACTGCGCTGACCACTTTTTAATTAAAATGAAAATTATGTACAAAAAAGAGATATTTTAAGGGAACGATGCAAATGATCAAAGTATTCAGTTTTTACCTGTGGGGTAAAAAGTTACTCATTTATACTACTTACTATATCACTTGACTGGCATTCATGAAATGTGAGCTTTGCTTATTCGTATTAGGCAAACCTATGGTGACTTGGAAGTTATCAAACATGTTCACAATACCAATATCATTGCATTCGTTTGCCTCTCATCTGATAAAAACTTTCCATCATATCAGATCGAAAGTATTATCAAATACTGATTAACCCTGAAAAAGGAGATTGGTCACTGGAAAGCTACAATGACTGTTTTTAAGAAACGCGAAGGGCAACATCCACTTATTTTAAATTGAAATTTTCTTGTGACAGGGAAATGATTTTTCCTAACAATATTATTGATTTGAAAATGGTGGGCCTACTGCAAAAGAACAAAAAAAAAAAAAACCTCCAGGAAAACGGTCTGAATCTAGCATGTTTTATATCACACCTACAAAGAATCATAACTAAAACTATGGTGCTTACCTTTCTTTTCCTGGTGCAACAAACACTGTCGACAGTCGACGAGGAGCCAGGGTATCTGCACGTTTAACTGGAGTCTCCTCTAAAGTTGCTGGTTGACCAGCAGTCCGAATGCCAAAACCTGGGGTTTTAGTTTTAGTTTAAGTAAGTGTTTTACGGCACTTGCAACACAATAAGGTCATATAAGTGCTGAAGATAGGAGAGTTACAAGAGAGTAACAAACATGAAAAAGGAGGGGGGAGATAAGGACGATAGATGTTTGATAGGAAAGAAGACGCAAACCACACCAGAGCACCCGCCAACCACCCACAAACCTGGGGTAAAATAAAGTCAAAGTCTCAGATTCAAAGCATAGTCTGTCTGAATGGCAGATGTTATCAGATTGTAGAAAAGACATAAAAGCTCAGAGGAAAGTAAAAAATTTGAAGAGGAGAAATCACTCACACATAAGAAACCACATAGATGACTTCACAAATTGTAAAATGTATATGATATCACAAGACATATGGCATAAACATAACATAAAATAGACCACTAAACAGTGTAAATCTAGCGTTATGAATATCATAACCGAATACACTGACTGCTCAGAGTAAAATTCTGGGATACGTCACTTTTACTTTTCAAAAGGCTTATGGCAAAGCCTCACACTAAGCAGTTGATATGTAGTAGGTGAAAAAACAGCACAATTGGTGAATGAAAACAAATTCTGGATCTAGGTTAAAGAGAAGAGCATCAACCTCACAGTCAAAGGAAGACAGATTTCTATAAACAAAAATAACCCCCAAACCCAATGGATGGATGGACGCTAGACATACTGGTGCTCCAATATCTACCTGCACACATCACTACACAGCACACCACGAAGTCATCACAACTCATTTATCGATATAATCATATATATAACATTGAAAGCAATTGAAACCACTGTAGTGTAACAAAAAAACTAACAACTGAATTAAGAACTCACTTTTGGTGATTGTGTGGGAACTGAGTGTTGGCTTCCCTAATGTAGGGGTCCCCTGACCCAGATTTCTGGCTCCAGTCATTTCCATTGGCAAGGTCGCTTTAAGGGGGCCTCTCTTTGTTGTTTTTTTGGTAACAGTCCGAGACAAATCCACAGTCTGGCCGTCCCCCCTGTTGGTCATACCAGTGGCTACCTGGTCCATCCCTGCAGGGTCTTGTGAGGCAGTGGGCCCTCTAGAATGTCCACGTGGTTTGATCACAGTCCTTGAGGGGTCTACATTAACTGTTCTTTTCTCTTGTGCTACTGTCTTTCCAGGCTTCGATAGGGAAGTAGGCAGAGCAGACTTAAAATTTGATGGAGGTCTCAGCCCTGACTGGACTCTTCGTGCCAGCTTTGAGGCAGCTGGACATGGTAGCCGGCTTTCTTTTGTTGGGTCTATGGGAGGGGAAGGGATAAGACAAAATATTTTAGTTCTAGTAAGAGTTTTGCGACACTTGTTCGTTTTAGTAAGGTTTTACGGTGCTTGCAACTGCATAAAGTCGTATGAGCGCCAAGGAGTGGATATCAACAGAGAAGTCCAAACGGGGAATCAGGCTTACTCTGCTCAACTCTCTAGCCTCAACAGCACAAAGTCTGCTTCGACTGTCAAGGCACCCCTGAAATAGCAGTTCAGAAGAGTGACAAACATAAAGAAGTAGAGGAAATGATAATAGTAAAGATGAGGAAAGAAAAAGCAGCAGTTCCGGCACAGTAAATCAATCCATTTACAAGTCTACTGAGCATAAGAACACGTTATCCCCCTTTGGGAATGGCCTAAAGACTCTTCAGTCAGTAGCACTGCCCTGAGGGGGGCTGCGACACTTGAATAGCAATTGCCGAAGATTAGAGGTGTTACAAGAGAGTAAAAAACATGAAAAAGAAAGAGGACAGATAAGGATGATAGGTGCCTGATAGGAAAGAAGGAGCAAACCACAGCAGAGCACCCACTAATCACCCACAACTGAGAAATGATGAAGGGAAGTGGGGGCTAAATAAAAGAATTGTGAAATTATGTCAGAGGTGAATTTACAACACAAAATGATGCCAGATAAAGAAACAGAAAAGATAAACCATCAAATAGAGTCACACCAGCAAACAAGATAGAAGTGAAGCAATGCAACAGGTGGGCGAGAGGGCAAACAGAGGAGACGATGAGGTGAGCTTGCTAAAAATGACACTTCCAGTGAGAGTATCTAAAATACTTTGTTTTGTGTGTTTAGAAGTCCTAATGCTGCATTAGACACAATTATAGAGGCATCTGCTCAATCAAAACCTGCGAGACTGCTGGGTTTTCTTCAGTTTAAAGAAGTTGCTGAAATAGACCAAAAAAACAACTATTAGGGATTTTATTTTCTTTCAGTTTACTGTATCCAGATTACCAGTAACCGTGTTCGCTTTAAGCAGAGTCCACTGTAAGCCATTTCAAAGGTAGGCCCCACATTGGGGAGCCATAAAATCTACTTTGTATTGTTTTGCAAGACTGGACCCGCTGTTGACAGCCTGGAATAAAAGACTGACAAGTACAGAGAAAATACATGACAATTAAACAATTAGTGAATGTGCATGAGTCACACCACCACCAGTGGGGCAGTTGCACACCATGCCCATGGGACAGTGGATTCTAAATCTCTGGCCGTTTCTGGGTAAAAAATACATGAAATCCTCACCATTGTTTACGACACCACGAGAAGAAGCAAAAACTGTTCTTTCAGAATTTTCTGCAGAGTCCTTATCACTGGAGGGCTCCTGAGATCTGTTGGCCTTCATTGGACCCTTCAGCGGCTTGCGAGTGACAGTTCTCGATCCCATTGGTATAAGATTGCTGCCAGCATCGGTGGCAAGTGGGACTTGACTTTTATGGGGAATCACAGGTGACTTTTTCTGCTGAAGACTGCTCACGGCGGGCTGATGGATAGTTGAACTTTTTCTCCTTTCTGTCTCTAGTCACATACATGTGGAAACAAAAACAAAGCCCATTTTGGGTGTTGTGTGGAAACCAATTCAAAATTTGAGGAAGTGTCTTGCGTCAGATCAGTTATGTCAGTCGTTACATAAAATGTCAAAGCACAGTCATTAATAGCACAATGATATTCAGGGATATCAGTATATCACACTGTTTGTTCAGGCCACAGATAAAAAAGGTAAAAGTCTTCATACAGTGGCACTAAATACATGATTTATGATTGTGTGCAAACAACCTTAGACAACAAGCAGTTTGTCAGATTAGTAAACCTCAAGGTATGAAAAATGAATATAAACACAACAAAATATATGTATCTGTTTGTTCATGATCTCAAAGAACAAAGTGAATGAAAAAAAGACATCTTTAAACCCCCCCCCCCCCCCCCCCCCCCCCCAAAAACAGACTAATTTCATGGGAATACCTCCAACCATTTGTTATGCTTAAAAGTATGCATTGTGACATTGTCCATACCATTCCACAATCCCACAGATTAATTCCTGGGGGTTCCAGATAAAGTTGTCATTCAAATGAAGTATGAATTAAGGCAACAATTGGCATCTTATACGACAGATTCATTCTGTTTTATCATTTCCTTCCTAGTTTTTATCTTAAAAAATCACAAGAATATTAGTCATGGTTCTGACTTAGGTGATTTCTTTTTCTTTGATTTTCTCAAAAGTAAAAAAGAGATTTGAGCACGTGTAGAGGGAAGGTATATTTGTTTACCATTGAACTGAACTGACAAGGTGAGCAAAAGAACTTCCCTCCCCCCATCCCACAATACCCCTGAAGCAGGGACTGACTCTTAACTAAGTTATCAAGTATGGCTTTGAGATTGACTTGAGAAAAGAATTTAGACCTAAAGACCACTTAGCAAAATTTGACAAATGTTAAGAGCTGCCTCAGCCAGCAAACTATTACATAGGCCTGAAGACCTCGGAGCAAAGTATTGAATCAGGTTTCAGGACTGACAAAGCAAAGTAAAAACTAGATTTTGAGACTGACCAAGGGACCTATAAACTTACATCTATAATCCATAGTTAGAGACAAAGAAAAAAAAAAGCTCACACAAATTTTCCTTTTCTTACTGGAAAACAATAATCAAATATAATGTAGTTCATTCACTAGCTACACATTACACGTCAACAACACCTCTTTGTGTACTCAACACACCTAGCCTACACACTAGCTACACATCAACAGTTAAAAATTTGTTTTACCTAATAACCCAGAAGTGCGTCGAGTTGATAATTGCCTCTGTCGTAGTTTAGACTGAAACATGCCAGGTTTCATCAGAGATGGCTTCGCAGTTGGGGCTTTCTGTGACTGTCCTTTGGTGGTCGCGATTTGTCCAACTGACTTTCTCGGCTGTGCCTGAGAGACAAAAATATGTTAAAACTTCTGCACGGATGGGACCATGGGAAACTGTGGCCTGACACACATTCTATAAGCTACTGGAGCTATCACCCACTTTCATAACAGCACAGAGAAAGATTATTATCAGAAACCCCAAGACTCTTTGAATCATCGAGAACTTACTTTTTACACCCTACCATACATACAATTGAGGAGAAAGAAATAACCGACATGCAGCAACCTCTTTAATGGACAGTTAAACAATATCAAGATCAGAGCTCACTTGTATTTAATACCCAAGATACTTATTTTCATGTAAAGTATCTGAATCTAAGTATTTTTCTCTGCCTTGTTCTTTCCTTTTTTCTTACTTGTTTTTGATACTTTCCATTCAACCAAGGGTTTCATCTTTGAAATTAACTATGTTTCTTTTAGGGAATTACACTTCAGCAACAAAACAAAGCACCTACTTTCTTGACTTCCTCAGAGTCCTCTTCAGCACATGAGGAGGATGAGGACACTTTTGTACTGCTCGTTTGATTCATCTCAGTAGGGCTGATAGTTTGATTCACCCCAGTTGTACTACTAGCTTGATCACCAGTGGGGCTGTCAGACCGACCCCCCATTACTGGGATGTTTGAAGTTAAGGAAAATGAGGCCTCATGTTGCTGATCACAGGTAGTTTCCTTAGACTCTGTCAGGCCTGCTCCAAGGTCAATGGGTGCGACTGTAAAAAGTTCATGTCCATCTATAGCACCAGAACTTGGCAATAGTAACGCAGGTGGTGCTATCTCATCTTGATCTGTAATTGAAATCAAGTCAGTCACAAAATTTGCCAGTTTGTCTCCATCTGAGGCCGAAAACAAGGTGGCCATACCTCCATCTTCATCACAAGTTACTGAAGATACAATATCCTCTTGGTTTTGACCCGTGACTTCAATGCCAGATGTCTTCACTTCAACAGGATCTTGTGAACAGGCTGGGATGGGTGGATCATCCACAGCTCGTTGACAGACGTCATCACACAGTTCTGAAGTGATTAACTGGCTCATTGAAAGAAGGGGCTGTTCAACCAAATCATTCTCAGTGAAAAGGGGGGAAATCTGTTTACCTGTATTATCAGAAGATGGAACACTCACCAAAGACTCTATCAGATCAGATGATGGTAGCGGACAAATTAAATTTTCAATCTCTGGAGATGTTGGTTGTAAACATGTCAAAGTTTCCTTCTTTTGTATCAGTTCAGATGACGGTAGTGGACAAATTAAATTCTCAATCTCTGGAGATGTTGGTTCCAAACATGTCAACGTTTCCATCTTTTCTATCAGTTCAGATGACGGTAATGGAAAAATTAAATCCTCAATCTCTGGAGATGTTGGTTCCAAACAGGTCAAAGTTTCCTTCTTTTCAGAAGATGATACTAAACATGTCAAAGTTTCTGTTTGTTCAGGGAGCACACCTGTTAAAGACGCGCCAGCTGTTTGTCTCCTTTCAGCAGAAAGTGGAGAAAATGTCTCTGTAACAGTCAAAGGAGGTGATGTTGAAGGGGAACTTTTTTCTACAGAACCACTTTTCTCATGAGCCATCTCTGGCTGGAGGATAACATTGTCCAGCTCATTAGCAGAAGTCACATTGTTGTCTCTCATGGTCCCCTCATTGGTGAGGGTTGGTTTTAAAACACTGGTGTTCACTGCAGCCAAATTCTGACAAGGACCAAGGCCACACTCTGAGTCAGGGCTCAGCATGACCAAGTTCTCTGGTGAGGACATCGTACCTGTCAGAGATGTATTCGACAATTCCCTTAAGGGGGATCGACCCATTTCAAGAGGTGAAAAAACATGCGGTGACTTTGCTTTGAAATGGTTTATTTCAGTCTTGAGAATTGCTCTTTTTGCATAGTTTAGTACTCCACCATTTTCTTGATAGAAATGCTGAGTTGTATTGGAATCTCGGCGAGGAACATCTGGGGTGTTTTGCTGAACTATGTCGGGAGTGAGTTCAGTTCGTTTAGGCTTAACTTGGGCAGTAGAACTGTCAAGCATAGGACTTGAACCTACTAAAAACTCTGGCCTTTTTGTATCAACGATAAAGTTGGGAGAGTCACTTGGGGTCGCCGGAATCAACGTCTGCAAGTAGTTTGCCAATTGGAGAGCTTCAGACTCCTAATCAGAAACAACAACAAAATAATCTCATTGAACAGAGGGAAACACGACATGAACAGATTCAAGAGTAACTTTAGTTTAACTCACTGGGCGGGGGAGTAGTAAAAAGTGTTCATTGTTCACAATCTGTTTAAAAATTTTATAAGGTCCAGTTTGTTTGATCAATATAGAATATTTTAAAGAGCACAGGGGAAATATTGTGTATGGTGAGATATCCTAACTCATCAAGTTCAGAAGCCTAAATGCTAATGCTCCTTCCCTGATATTATCAAATGATCTTGACTAAGTCCAAAATGAAAATACTTCACTAAAAATTGAATATTACTTTTATTTGTCCAGTTAGTTTACAGACCAAAATCAAATATCTACATGTAGAACAAATAGATTAAAGTAGGCCATAGTATACGTACAATATCGCTCCACTTCATGGGGGATGCTGGGGACTCCATACTTCCCCTGAAGATTTTCTGATTCTGATAAGCAACTCTGTCAAAAAATAAATTAGATTAAGTGGAAAGACATAATAGTCTAATATATTATTAAACACAGTCGAGCATGCACACAGTGAAAATGTACGAAATAGCAAAACATGCACACATTGAACAGATTTTCAGGTCCTAAAATGTTTCTTATAATAATACAACAACATTCTATGTTTAATCAACTATTATGTGTGCGATCAAGACAAATAAAAAATGCCCTATATTTAGTGGGGTGGGGTTTTGGTTAAGTATAAATGGCGCTCACAACTGCATAAAAGGTCATATGAGCCCGCAGGACACATCAAACATTTTCAGTGGGTATGAAAACTTTCAATTTTGCCCAGGTCATGGCTGTTAAAAACCCACTGAAAGTGGTACTTTAGTTGGTGACTGAGCCCTGGTCTGACCTTCCGCCCGAAGGTAATAAATGAGTGTCAGTCGTCCACTCCCGCGGCTTACAACTGCGACGATAGCCATACCTGCCGCTGTGCCTGCGTAACTCAGTTCAGTGTATCAGTTTCCGTTGCTAGAAGCCTGTTTTGTTTGTTTCAGTAGAGGTTTTACGTCACTCGCAACTGCATAAGGTCATATGAGCGCCAGAAGATTAGAGGTGTTATAAGAGAGTAACAAACATAAAAAAGAAGAAGGGGAGATAAGGACGATAGATATTTGATAGGAAAGAAAAAGCAAGCCACACCAGAGCACCCGCCAACCAACCACTACTGAAGCCTGTTTAACATCTCACTTTAAAGATCATCTTTGAGACTAACAAGACAATCCACTTTCGCTCTGGAAATCTCACTGGCGTTTATGGCATTTACGCACTTTGCAGTGCAAGTGCTTTGTTCATCTAAAGTTGCATTTTAAATTATATTCCATTTTGGAGCGTATACAGTCTATTATCTCAAAAACTAAACACACGATTTTCATGAAATGTCCGAGCTTTACTTGAGTGTAAGTGCTATTTGTGCGAAGTGAATGTGTGATTTTATACGATTTTAATTTTTTTTTAAATGGTACCCTTATCCCCTGTGATTCGCTCTGACATGATTTTTCATTTCTCTTCTTAAATTTAGAATCGGGCTACTTTCTAAAACATTTCTCTTATGCATTTATTAAAAATATTTTAGCCCAGTAAAGAAATGGGGAATAATTCAGAGGATTTGCATTTTCAAAAGCTGCATGAACTTTGCAGAATTTGTGGTGAGTGGTGGCAGAACACTATCAGGTAAGCAGAAACTACAGAAAATGCGACCCCTGCGGTTCTCAATTTGTATCGGACATTCTCTTCTTGGCCTTTGGTGTAAGCATTACAATGGACTCACAGACAGAATATTAAAAAACCATCTGCACAGTTTGCGCGGTCAAGACTTATGAGACATATAAAAATATATATCAGGGCTCTATAACAGCCTGGTTTTTCTGAAACTATTCTTGATGCTCGTTTTCACAACAGTTTACACTTCCCACTTATAAACTTTGAACCCAGGAAAAGTAACCACCATACCTTCATATTGTTCTGGGTGTAGTTCTTAACCACCAGTGTATGCTAGAGGCAGCGACACACAAAACATACATACATACAGGTAAGTGAGCAATCAGAGGAAGACTTATTAAAAGGAGTTTCAAAGTCACTAGGCACATTTATATATATAATGGCAAAAACGAGTCGTGGGGGGGAACAAATGGGGAGAATAGACATTAAGAAGGCTGCGTAGTACTTTCTTCTGACTCTGAAAAAGAGAAAATTAACTTTCAAAAACAATTGACAGCAGGTTGTCTGAGTTAGAGCATGAACCCCTTAGCCCTAGAACTGGCCCTATCTGTTGTTCTCATTTAGACCCCATACTTAACTCACACAACAATAGCACACCGGAGGCATATCACAGCTGCTCTTTCATTGCGTTTTTTTTTGCAATCACTGCCACAAATACACCATGAGTCGCATTTATAAAGACCTCACTGCATTTATTGTAAAAGAAACAGTAGAAAACATCCACAAAGCCAAAATGTAATTGACACCGCTTACACTCTCAGAGAAAAATTCAATCAATTAAACAATGCATATTTAGGGGCGTTCACATCCACATCTCACACAACCAACCAGTCACAGTGCAAAATGACAGACACTACTACACATTGGCTGTTGTGATGCAATCTCAGGGCTATGCATGTCAAATCCAGAACTATTATCCAACGTACCTCGTACCTTCGACAAAGAAAAAAAGGTGATACTATAAGCAATCAGCTTTTCCCCACTCCAAAACCGTGGACTTCGCACAAAAACAACAAAGTGAGTTTCGATACTTGACCTCCTGTTTTCTAATGTTAATAGGGCCTAACTTAAGTACGGCTAGACTCCTTGGCTAGCCGTACTTAAGTAAGGGTAGACAGCCAGGCTAGCCGTACTTAATATTGATGGCTGAATTGTACATGAAATTTTTAGTTTGCAATACCTAAAGTATTTGTATTTCAGACAAAACCAAAAAGGTGCCTTACTGACTTGCATCATGTATTTGAACTTGAATAATTACTAGATCTAGATCTAATGAGACCTGTGTACTTAACAGGCTTGAGTCGATAGGGCCAAACCTAGATCTAAGTACGGCTAGACTGGCAGTCTAGCTGTACTTAAAGTACGGCTAGACTCTCAGTCTTGCCGTACTTAAGTACGGCTAGCCACTTCAAAAATAAAATAATGGTAAAGACAACAGTGAGAAAGCAGACCACAGAACATTGTTTGAGAAAGCAGTCTAAGACAGAACATTGTTTGAGAACAGGAAAGGAGGTGAAAGGAGACAATTTTAGAGAAGAAATATTTATGTCGCTATCCGGATTAGAACCCGGGACCTATTGAATGAGAGGCGAACACCTTAACCTCTAGGCTACGATAGCCCCCATTTGATGAATTTTAATTGAGGTGTATATATCACAATAAAAGCCTAACAGCGTAGTTAGTAATTTTCACGTTTGACAAGAACCAATTGGAGGTTTCAGGAAGGCCTGCCCCTCTGAAGTTAAAAAAAATCGGGGGGGGGGGGGGGGGGGGGGGTTAAAGGGGAGCATGCACCCCTGTTTTAACTTCCTTACTTATAATTTGATGTTTAGCAGTTAAAAAGTTTGAAATTTTCTTGAAAAATATTTCATTTGCGACAGTTTAAAGTGGCTGTACAAATACTAGATTTTGTGATCTGCAGCAAATGAGGTTTGGCTGAAATGACAGAAATGAAGTCGATATTCGTGTTCAGCGCATCAATATATATGACGTAGAAAATAAACGCATGTAGATCTAGCTAAATGGAAACAGGAGGAAAAGTAAAAGAATACTGTAAAAATTTACCCTCTTGTGTAGGGATAGCATTGACCAGTGCATGCTCACACTGACCTCTGCCTTGCCTTGGTCATGTAGTAGCCTTAGAGATTCTACCTGTACAGGCCTAAATTTGACCAAGCACTGAACTGAAGTTGAAGATATAATTGTCATTGGGAAGTTGTCATTCTCACCCTGGGTGAGAATAACCTATGTCTCGCTATTCTCACCCCCTCGATTTACTGGAAATGACCCTAGAGGGATCAGGGCTGAGGTTAGCGGGCTGACGCTCCACAGCATCATGTTCGTCACTGTTCGTGTCCAAATAGTCAGGGTTGTCAGTTTGGAGCCAAATCCCAGAAATTTGGCTCATTTCGATTGTGTCCGGCCATGATAATTTGATTTGGCTCTCTGGCTCTTTTTTGGCTCCAAACTCCAAATGTTCAAGAAGAAAGGGAAAGATGAGGCAAGAAAAAAAAATGAAAGTGAAGAAAAGAGCTTGGATTGTTATTTCAAATTATTAAAACTAGTTAACACGATCAAATGCCCTTGCCCATTTGGTCTGTATAATTTACAACCCTTCTACAGTCCTGCAAGAGCATTTATTGTCTCGTGCTTGCGTCTTGTTACATTTGTACACGCTCTCTGTTCCTTCAACCATAAAATTTACGGAGCGCCTACGTACACGGTAACCAGGCACCTAGTTCCACCTAATCTCAGTATCTACGTACACGGTAACCTGGCATCTAGTCTCAGTATCTACATACATGGTAAACCGGAATGAAAATAAATCAATATTTTGTCCTGTGCTGTCACTTTCTGAAAAAAAAGAAAGCCATACAAGCATCTTGTTGGGCTCGCCATCGTGACTGGTCAGTGAACCTGTGCGTGTGCATCACATTGTGAGTACCGGTTGGGGGTCACCAAAGTTCATTCAAAGCCTAGCGATGCGAAGTATAAGGCTCCAGAATGGGGGATTATTGATTTTTTTTAAAGGTACAGGTAACAGTCGGGGGAGGGGTGGGGATGAAGGCAACACCGGAAGACAAAAACTGAATTTGGAGTTCTGAACTGCCCGGTTACCGTGTGTACATGACACTGAGACTACGTGCCCGGTTACCGTGTATGTAGACACTGAGGCTAGGTGCCCGGTAACCATCATGTACGTAGACACTTTATTGTGCAGTGTCTACGTACACGGAAACCGGGCACCTAGCTTCAGTGTCTAAGTACACGGCCGGCAACCAGGCACGTAGTCTCAGTGTCATGTACACGGTAACCGGGCATGTAGCCTCAATATCTACGTACACGGTAATCAGCATATAATATATGTATTCTCAGTGTCACGTGCACTGTAACCGGGCAGTTCAGAACTCCAATTAAAATATAAGTTCCGTTTTTGTCATCCGGTGTTGCCTTCATCCCCACCCCTCCCCTGACTGTACTTTAAAAAAAACAACAACCAATAATCCCCCCATTCCGGAGCCCTATACTTCGCAGCGCACAGACTTTGAATGAACTTTGGTGACTCCAACCGGTACTCACAACACAAGATGTGATGCACACGTGCAGGTTCACTGACTGGTCACGATGGCAAGCCCAACAAGACGCTTGAATGACTTTCTATTTTTTTCAGCAAGTGACAGCACAGGACAAATATTGATTTATTTTCATTACGGTTACCGTGTACGTAGATACTGAGACTAGGTGCCCGGTTACGTAGATTCTATTGCTAGATCTATACTATAGACAGTATAGATCTAGATTCTATCTAGATCTAGGTGGCCATCCGGGCATACCCGGATAATACCGTACGTAGACACACCGAAAATTTTAATTCATTATATTAGGATGGGCTAAGATAGTGCCGCTGACCATATATCTTACCAAACAGTGATTTGACGAAACTTTCTTGAATGTGCGCAACAAGACAAACCAACTTGACAAGACAACGAAAACAAAACTGACTCACCACTGTGTGAGTCACTGACTGACAAAAAGTAGATCTAGAGATCTACAGTACACACAGAAATTATGTTGCGTGTCCACTTAATTTAATTATAATTCTCATTCTAACTCCAGCTTCTACTCTTGAGAGGGGAAAAGACTTTAAATAAAACTAACTTCACAATTTGAAAACATGAAACGGGTCTTACACTTTCTATTGAAGTCGAAATCTTTCCTCACAGTCTCTCAGAACACCGTTACTGCTTGCTTAGTTGTTTCTGTTTCGTATTTTGTATTCCGTTCACAACGGTCATGTGATTTTATCCAGAAGCATTGACTGGTCGGTAGGAAAATAGACTTTTCTTATTGGTTAGCCTTCAAGAAAACACTTCTTTTATTAAAAAAGAGTGCGGTGCCATGAAAGCAGTCGTTAAAGATTTCTTTCCTAGGCTAGTTATTAATTTCCATTCAACCTGGCCGAAAAAAATAATAATCATTTGATACCAAAGAGGTTATATAGGCAACATTCTTCTAAGGTCCTTGTTTGATAACTGTCTCAAACTATAATATAATAAACAAGACTAGATCAATCTAAGAGATCTTATGATGCTATTTTTTACGGATATTTATATTGAGTAAACATTACTCTGATGAAACGCAAGTATGGCCTTTTAATCCCAAGGACCTCAGAATAATTCTGTTATAACGGATCATTGGTTTAATAAATATTTTAGAAAGTTATTTTCAACAGATTTCTAGAGTAGAATCTAGTAGTAGTAGCTAGGAATTCGATCTTTCCTGAGACAAAATGTCTAATCATACGTCCATCAAGATCTTGAATTCCTCAGCCAACTTTGAACTCACTCACCCTGCTATTAACAACTGATTTCATACAGGGTCTATCGCCTATCTCATATCTCAATCAATACTGGTCTACACTTATAATAGGACTTTATATGAAAAGGCTCGCAAATAAATTTTAAGTCCATCTGTTGTAGACTATAGATCTACATCATCGTCCCCCTGGCCTTTGACAATGACGCACTGTAGTTCCCTAAACTGGAAACATTACAATGATGAACATAATAATAGTATTATTTGATTATTTTATTTTCGTGTTAAATGCGAAATATAATCTTTACGCTCAGTGTGACTTCTTGACACTCTTGTTTTTGTTGAGTAAGATCTAGATCTAGTTCATTTATTGTCAATTGTCAACATCGTCATTCGGGACTCGATGACCGATGTCTGTCAATTTAGGCTAGTATCGAAAGAGAGCATTCACAAGATCTTCTCTTGTCAAGTTCTTCACCTGTCTACCTTTGACCTTTGGACCGGCAGCTGAACAAACGTCTCGTTCCACTAGGCTACTATTTAACTATTGGATTTTTAAGTCTTAGTTTCTTACTCAGATCAAGATTCTAGCTTTTTATCCGTTGCAGGTGAGTATTTATTTTATGAAGTAACTTAGCCTCTAGATCTATGTGTGTGCCTCTTCTTCTTCTTCTTCTTCTTCTTCTTCTTCTTCTTCTTCTTCTTCTTCTTCTTCTTCTTCTTCTTCTTCTTCTTCTTCTTCTTCTTCCTCCTCCTCCTCCTCCTCCTCCTCCTCCTCCTCCTCCTCCTTCGTCGTCTTCTTCTTCTTCTCCTCCTCTTCTCCCCCCCCCCACTCTCTCCCCCCACTCTCTCCCTGTCTCTCTCTCTCTCTCTCTCTCTCTCTCTCTCTCTCTCTCTCTCTCTCTCTTTCTTTCTCTCTCTTTCTTTTTCTCTCTCCCCCTCTCTCCTCTTCATTCTTTCAACTGTCTTTCTTCAACTTCAGTTTCTCCCCTCCCCTCTTTTTCTATTCTAATCCCAGGGTAGATCTTGACTAATCTAGATCTAGCCTCTTTCATAACACGAGGATGAATTAAGACTGGTTTGCTTGACAGCGGGTAATCAGGATGAGAAAAACAGGATAGTAGGAGGAGCCAACCCAAAGTTTCTGACATACTTTTTTTTGCGAAGTGACTATTTCTCCATACGCTCTGGGATATAAACTTGACCACTATTTCTCAGAGCGGTTTCCGTTCTCGAAATTTTTGTGGTTATTTGCGACAGTTCGGCATCATAGAATCTTTCATTCTGCGAGGAATGGGAAGAAGCATTTTTTTGCATCAAATTCAATTTCTTTCGCTAGCTAGATCTGGAATCTAGAGATTCTTATAAGATGTCTGAATATTCAGATGGCCTACTTCAATTGTGGTTGGGGGCAACGACGTTCCCGGACTGACTATACTTCGTTGTTTGACTATGCCTTCTAACGGTACTGCGAGAATACAAAACTGCTGGATTTGGGCAGTATTTCTAACCTATATAATTTTGCATTTAATCACCCTAAAGCAAAAACTAAATCACAAAAAAATCCCCCCACGCCCCTTGAGTTGTTGTTGAGTTTTGGAGGATCAGCGCCAGTATTTAGTCTTTAAATTCTAAATCACCAGTTAAAGCACGAAATCGGTGGGTCAAGCCCACTTGTTTTTAAGTAATTTAAGCCTAAAACTGCCCCCCACCCCTCCACCAATAAAAACTACTCAACAAAACTCACCCAGTTATGAATGGTGTAGCTGATCAGTTAGGCAAGACGACTCGCAACCCCCCCCCCCCCCCCCCCAGCAGCCGAGGAAAGAGTTCCTCGAATCGTAACATGCGTGGGAGGGGTGGCATTGGTTAACCGTGCTTATTACACCGATGGGTTAGCAAGGTTAGGATGGAAGCAAAGGAGATATTCAAACATTTCTGTTTTTAATTAGGTCATACAGTGTTCCCGTGGAACGCAAGCACTGGTGGCAATGGATACTGACGCAAGTCATTATTAGAGAGGATAGCACTTGAGAGGTGTGAAGTTTTGACCACTGCTTGCTGACCAGACGAGCGACCCTTGATCCCACTGATTGGGCCTTTGAAACCCCCCTCCATCTCCCCCGAAATTTCCCTGTCTAAGACGAAAATGTCTTCTAAGACATAATTTTTTTTCTGTCTCCCTTGCAATTCAATCTTACACAGGTTTGACTGTCCATTGGTGACTGTTTCATGCTGCATTGTAAGTTTGGGTGTTCTTTGTTATGCATGCACAGTAAAAAGTGGTTATTTGAAAGCGATGAGTTTACTGTATATATAGGACTTTAAAAATTAACATCTCAGTCTAGTGCTCTCTTAGATAAAGGCTATCTCTTTTGCTTCACATGCACAGGAAAAATAATTACCCAATAATACGCTGGTGACTGTTTAAAGCTGCGTGTGTAAGCTTGAATCATGTTCTAAAGCACAGCGAAAAGTTTATTGGATATTTGGAAGCTATTCAGTCTGCCTATTAGCTCAGTCTATTGCTCTTTTCTCAATGCAGACAGAAGAAATTGGGTGTGTTCACAGTCTTTCCTGTGTGTTGTCCGCTGTTATAATGCAGATTTTTTTGAGGAGGCCTTTATTGTTTCTTGGAAGTAGAAGACCTTTTCCTCTTATTCTACTTGCTGTTTAGGGTACACAAAATTACTCATTTTTCAATTTTTTTTTCAACCTTGTTCCCTGTGTAATCTCGCTCCGACATTGCAATTTTATTTTTATTTTTTTTCAGAAGAGAAAAGAAAATTTTAACCATGATCAAGAGGGTGATTTTAGCAGCACTGTTGCTGTTTATGATAATTCTGGTGGTGAGGACTGTGTACCTGTCACGCAGAAGTGTTCCGGCCAAAGAATGTAAGGCGTCGGACACAGACTTCATTCCTCTGTCGCAGCCAAGGTTACAGCGATTTCAACAGGCCTTACGCTTCAGGTCAATTAGTGAGGAAAGAGGGGTCTTCAACGCAGATCAACTGCAGAAGTTGGGAGATTTCTTGATTGCAAGTATGTGCTTCACCTGGAACAATGTATTATGTGACTTATTTTTCTTTTTTTTAAAATTCAGTTGTTTATGGACCTTTACATTCAATGTAGAGTCCCTTAATGATATCAGACACAGGTGCTTTGCAGTTGTGTCATGGTTCTGGAAAAAGTGCTGTCTTTGTCTCACTGCAGGGGTTGACATGAATAATATTGTGTCCTAATTTTTCTTTCGCTTTGTTTCTGTTGAAGAAGTAACAATTTTGTAATTTGGAAATTACTTTTATGGTTCAATACTCACAATGTTCTCTAACGTTTCTACTAAACCATTATTTGTTGTATCTTGTTAACTAGAACTCTGATACTTTTACACTTCTGGAACACTTGTGTTGGGGTGTTTTTTTTCTTAAGTTCAATTAACAGTCTCGAAGTTCTTTATTTTAAAAAAATAAAAAATTTGTGAGTGTTTTACGGCGTTTACGACTGCATAAGGTCATATATAAGTGTGTGGTACACGTTAAACATTTTCTGTTGGTAGGAAATTTTGAACTTTGCCCAGGTGGCGGCCGAAGCCTACTCTTATCGATTTTGGATCACCAAGGGATCTTTAACATGCACAACTTGCACACGGGACCTCCAAGATTTTTCACCCTTTTCCAAGAAGGCAAGGTGTTGGATCTTACCTACCATAAGATCAGGGGTGTGACTGAAAGACAGCAGGAAGAAGGAGCGAAGGTGTAGCAGTAGAAAGGCTGCAGAAAGAGTCAGGAGCCAAGAGGAGGGGGCAAAGGAGGTGAGGAGGTGGGGGCAGAAAGTGGAGACGAAAGCAGACGACAGAACGTTGTTGGAGAGAAAGAAAGAATGTGAAAGGAGAAAATTTTAGAGAAGGAAATTTTATGTCGCTATCCCGATTCGGACCTGTACCTGTTGAATGAGAGGTGAACACCTTAATGCTCCAGACCTCGAGAGTCCCCCCCTTGAAGTTCCATGGACTCAACTTTCCCAAATGCTCATGTTACACCTATGTACATTTTTTTACTTGGGGGTTCATTGGCGCCAATAGTCTTTCAGTACATTTCATATTAAACCACTGACTGTTAAAATTCAGCCACTTGGAAGTTTCATAACCACTATTTTTGTTACAGACTTAAGACTTCCAGCACTTTCATCCTTTGTTTTAGTTTCATTTGGCCTACTTGATATTGCACAGCTTCACTCTTCCCTTAGTTTTGGTGAAAGTATTTTCTTTGTTACATCTTGCAAACTGTGGGGTTCGATGTCCACAGGCTTTCCGCTCGTTCATGCTCAGTCTGAATGGGAGAGAGTCAACAACTACAGCTTTCTGTATCACATCAAAGGCAGCAATCCATCTCTGAAGCCGTACTTGCTGATGAGTCACCTGGATGTTGTACCAGTGACAAATCTTGATAAGTGGGATGCACCCCCTTTTTCTGGTGACGTCCATGACAACTTCATATACGGGAGGGGTGCTATTGATGTGAAACAATGCGTCATGGTGAGTTCCTAGTTTTCATTGAAGCATTGCTTTACTTGATGTATGTGTATAGGAATGAAGCAGTTTCTACAATGCAATGAAAAAAACTGTTATACCATTAATACTTAAAATGAATGTCTGTCTTTTTATTAACAATTAAATTAAGAGAGTACTTTCAGCTGCTGGGATAAAGAGATACTGTTAACACTTTGAAAAGGGAACCTACTGAAAATTAAAATTATAAAAAATGTGCTTTGCACTTTTGGGATAAAGGAAATTCTGTTCACACTTAGGATAGGAAATTGAGATACACTCATCACTTCGAATAAAGAATGTACTGTTAATGCTTAGGATAGAGAATATTTGTAAGCGATAAGGATAGAGAGTACTTGTAACACTTACGATAAAGAATTTACTACTGTTAACACTTGGAAGAAACAATGTCTTTATTTACCCAGGGTATCTTGGAGGCAACTGAGTATGTGCTGGCCAGCGGTGTGCGCCCTGTGAGGTCGTTCTACATCGCTTTTGGTCATGATGAAGAGGTAAACTTGTGGTCTGCTGTGCTTCAACTTCGATACACAATCTCAAAGACATATACAGATACACAGACTCGCATGAATGTATACAATGTATATTCACACTCTCATAGAAACAAGCTCGCACATACACACACGCACACACACACAAACAAACACACACACACACACACACACACACACACACACACACACACACACACATACTGACACTCATCTGACATGTTCAGACACAGACACTCATACATATAGAGACATTCAGGCAGACACAAGCACAGGAGCTCACAGACCCGGAAACAGAGGAATAAACACAGTCATTTCCATAGACACATATGCACATTAACGCACAGACAAACAGTATATCTATACAGACACTGAAATGTATATACCCTCATTGGCACTTATTCAGAGACAGACACACATGTTCACTTCTACACACACATACACACCCTAATGTATACAACCACAGGCATATACCCAGATGTGTACACTCACACATGCTCACATACCCACCCACATATGCATATGAACGTACATATTACACATCTGCACACTTATTCACATACATGCACACTTGTCTGAACATGCACAAATGCACACACTGATGTATATGCCTGTAGGCATATACTGAGATACAAATACACATGCACACTAACACAAACACATGCACACGTCTACATTCATATTCGCGTAAACAGTTGTCTCCGCCTAAGATCCCACCACTTATGATCCTCCCGGTTCCCCTAAGATCTCGTTGTTTTGGAAAAACAGAATTTTTACTATGTAAAAGTCACCCTTAAGATCCCGCATTTAAGAAAAAAAAAGAATAGGAAATCTGAGCGCGCTCAGCTGATCAACCAAGTAGCGAAAATGTGCGATCATAGTACGGTCCGTCGCGTCACGGATCATCCACTCACTGTTGCATTCAAACTTCTGTTTTAAATCTCGATAAATGGTTACAATATTTGCCCCAAATGGGATCGCACCAAGGTGTGAACTCGTCGATGCCTTGCTTTCCCCAATCACCTGAGCCGTCCGCCTGATCTTACATCACTCACTAGGTGTGGAGGGCCTACAAGCAAGCGTCAGGCTGCATTCCATCAAACTGTGAACTCGTGGACGATAACGTTTTCCCAACCATTGCTCTCATCTTTCAGTTTTGCGCTCTAACTTCCTAGCCAGACTGACGCCCATACTCGTGGACTGTCCAATTGCCTTTGCGTAATGGGGTCATCTGTTGACAGTGCACCTGCCTTTTATTTTTTTAAAAATTGGTTGGTGTGGTCACAACACAACGATTTATGATGCATCATGACATGGGCGGTGGACTCTGTTAGAGATGGAAAGCAATACATTTTGGGGGGAGG